TTGGGTTGGGATGGGTGGGTGGGTTTACCTGGGGGTTAGGGAGGGTATGAACTGTCAATTTTACGAACATGATACTGGAGCGCCCCCAGATGACATTGCCGAGCAATGTCATGGGAGAATAATTAAAAAAAATAGCATTAAATTTCAAAGAAAAAAAAAACAAAAGGTAAAGAATTGGATTATATTATATTTTAAATACAAGATATTTTAAATAAACATAGCTTGTGGTGCCGGCCGTACCTAACTTCAATTCCTTTATTTGGGACACGTATAATTCAACAACAAAAAAAGCCCTAAATGTGACCAAACTTAGGTTTGGATAGAGTGACTTAAAGAAACAAAACATTAGCTATAATTAACAAATTACAATGAAGGACAACCATATCACTCTACATTCATTCCACTCTGTTTTTAATTATTTGTTTGAAAATATAGGGACTATCTATTTTTAGTATCTCTCTTTATAATTGCTAGCTGCCTATTTAAACAACCTACTCTTTTTTTTTTCTTTTTTTTTTTGGCTTTCATGGTGCGTCATTCACTACTTTAAAACAGTCATCTCATCCAAAAAAATTCCTATTTATCCTTTATATGATCAAATTTTGGTCATTATTTTGTTTGTTTATTTTTATCACTCATTTAATGTAAGAGTACTACGTAAAAATTATTTTTGTGATTGAAATCTTTTAGAGCGTCTCTAATCATATCATACTATTTTGGTTTGCTAAAAGCTATTCTCTCTGTCTCAATTTAAACTGTTTTGTTTCAGTTTATGATATTTGACTAAAATTATTTTTAATACTACTATTTATGTGAAAATTGAAGGAAAATTTAATATATATATATATGTGTGTGTGTGTGTGTGTGTCTATATATATATATAGGTTAAAAATTAGATTATAAACTCTATGAAACACATGTTGGCATGCCTATAATGTTTCAACAAATGAGTAACTAAAATAAAGAAAAAAGTGAATGTAGTTTAATCCTGTGGATGGTAAACAAACAACTTAATTTGAGACATAAACTATAATACAGTAAGTCAAACCCCTTTGTTTTTCTCCAAAGGATGTGCTATGTATTAACAAGTTTGTCAAAAAATGAATTTGGGTTGTTAAATATAACAAACTTCTCAAATTATAGCAAGTCAATATTTAAAAAAATGAAATAGCAAGCTATGGTTGGAGAATAGAACCAAAAGTGTTTATCTAGAGATAATGAGTCCAAATCAAACTATCACACTTAAAAAACTTTCCCTCCGTCCTCAATTTGATTACAAATTGTGGTTTATGAGGATAAATATCTCGCTTTTTGAAATTATTTTATTTACAAATTGGTATATCGATAAGAAATAAAAATTATATATTTAAAAATTATGTCAAAAGTTCTACAAAACAAGAGGTGACCAAAATACTTTATTATATCAAATACTTAATAAAATCGTATAATCAAACAAAAGTTATCGAGTGGAAAAAGAAAAAAATTGTAATCTATTTGGGGACGGAGAGAGTAATAATCAGGTGTTAGATTTGAATTAATAAACTTTGATTTAGTTATACCGAGTAAAACAATTCTTATACTTTTGATTAAGTTAAACGATTTTTTTTGTGTGGCGGGGGGGCAGTAGAGTGCCATCCAACGTGCAGTGGGTTTCCAAATGCGTTTATTTGGAAGTAAATAAACTTTAGTTTAAAAATTTGCTACATGAAATTATTTTTCCGTAAATAGATTGAACTGAAAATAATTTCAATCAATTTTTTTATATCTTCGGCCAAGTTTTATTATTTGCAATGTGTGGCATGATGATCGATTAATGTATGTGTTGTGGTACAATGTATATATGAGTGGTTTTAAATCTTAGAAATTATTACAAAACAAGATTATACTCCGTAAAAACTAAGAAAATTCATTTTTTCTAAAAACAAGTACATAACAAATCGCCACAATACAACACACAACGCAATAGAGTTGAGAACTAAATCCCAAAATGTTTGTCACATTACGTAAAATGAAGTGAACGAAATCTCAAGTTTTTTCAATTAATTTATTTAAATTAAAGAATAGCATAACAAATAAAAAAAATTACATGTTAAAAAATTACGTCAAAAAGCTCTTCAAAACAAGAACTGATGGGAATATTTTAGCTTATCAAACAACCAATGAAAATATACAAATAAACAAAATTTCCCATGATCTTTGAATAATAAATTGTGACATTATTTTTGGGACATAGAGAGTATATTGAGTTTTATAAAATCTGATGACAATTTGTATCCAACTTTTATTTGGATCGCCAAGTTATCTTCAATCAATTCTGTGCTTCTACTTCTGTCCCGTATCGTTCTTTCAATTTTGACTTTCATGGTTAATGTTTTTAAACTTTGATTACAAATTACGAAAAAAATCAGATAAAAAATAGAAGGTACGGGACAAATGGAGTATTAAATTACATATTTTTATAAATGTTTAAATTTGTTGGGAAAAGAGAAAAGGTTATTTTAAATTATGGCGAGGAAGGAAAATAAAAAATTACTCGGTACGGTAGTGATTAATTAATTACTCTCTCCGTCCCTAAATAAACTTTCTCTTTCGTTTTTTCTTTGTCCCCAAATAAACTTCTCTTTTCCCTTAAAAAACCCCTTTTACCCCTTACTTTTTCATACCCTACCTATCACATCATACATTTTTACTAATAATATACATATCACATCTTACTTTTACATATCACATCAAGGGTATTTTTGGAAAGTCAACACAAAAATATCTTTTCTTTAAAAATCCTCAAAAAGTTAAAAACGGAAGTTTATTTAGGGACGGGGAAGTAATAAATAAAGATATTAATAATAAACCTGTTGCTGCAAGGCTAGAATGGTGGAGACGCAGCCGTAGACGGGGTCGGAGAGCCTGGCCTGAGCCTCGTAAGAAATGGTGACGACGGCGTCGTGGCGGCGGTTGGCCGGAATGTGAAGGAGGAGCTTCGACACATTGCTGGCCCCGAACACCTTGTGGACCGCCGCGAACCGGGCCGCCCCCTGGTCCGACCCGAAGTGCGGTGCGAATATGCACCCGCTCACGCACTTCCTCCTCAGGAACTTGCACGCGCCGCACGGGGATTGTATCCCAACCGCCGCCGCCGCCACCTCCGTCCTCTTCCCCGTGCTCTTCCGCGGCCTCATCCCCCCGCCGCCGCCCCCCTCCGTCGACTCATGCCCCTCCTCCATATATATATATATATATATATATATATATCT